GGTAATAATATGTAAAACGATAACCATTGATAATTTCCTACCATTTTGTCTGTAATTTGCTAAGTCCCCCCTATTATTATGTTATCCTTCTTTTACCCTTTAAAAAAAAAAAAAAAAAAAAGAAGGCAGGGTTCTTCTAAGTTGTCTCCTCCCAACAAAGGAGCACTTACAAAGTAAAGATACCACTGACAGCAGTAGCACCCAGTCTGGAGTTTCTGCCCAAGGGACCTGAAAGTACTTCCCACATTCTGGAAGGCAGTCCTGGTGTTACACTGTTCGAGAACAGGGCGACTCATGAACAAATTACCTATATGAATTGTACTCAGTTTCAGAAGCAGGAAGTAACCAAACCTGGTAAGTGTTCATGTTATCATATACAAAAGGAATGACCAAGGCAGATGCATGGGAAGATGACTTGCTATTTAACCTATCCTATTGCACTAGGAGATTAGTAGCATTGCTCTCAAGTTCTATTCAATTTCATCTCTTACTTGCCTGTTGCCATCACTGGCTGTACCTTTTATAAGCACTTACTCATAAAGGTACCAGAGCAACATCAGTCCAAATCCATTTACCTACTGCCTTGCACACGCCAGTGGCAAGATCCATTTGATAGCCACGACTACATTCACACTTGTAACCGCCTTTTAAGTTGATACAAATTTGGCTGCAGATTCCAGGATTTTGGCATTCGTCAATATCTAGGAGGGAAATTAGAATTAGTCTCTCTGTTCCCATACCTTACTAGATGTACACTGCCCTTTCCCATCTCCTCAGGGGCCAGGTTATCCTCTTCAACTCACCTCCACACGTTTTCCTATCTATCAGCTCAAACCCAGCGGCACAGTCGCATTCGTAGCCTATAACTAAGTCTTTGCAGATGTGGGAACATCCACCATTATTTACTAAGCATTCGTTGACATCTGGAATAAAAATACAGCCAAGTCACTTAACAACTTATTCTCAAATGATATTTGTCTTGTTACATTTAAAATCTAGGTTATTTGTGATATCTTATCTAGCTGGCCTGGTTGAACTCATGAATTTTCTGAGAACTAATAATTTTTTCTATAGATCTTCTCCCTGTCCATCCTGAGATGTATATGAAACCCCATATCCTTGGCAAATAATCAGTGAATTAAGCAGTATTTAGTCGCATTTCTCTATTGCTAGTCAATTACCTTTTGGGAGGTTGAACTATGAACTAGTTTGTTACCGGCTAGACTTTGAAGTCACGACATTTTGCTCTCAAGCCTAACAGTTAAATTTTAGTTCATTCAGAGTTTAACCAGGAATCCCCAGGGTCCAAGCAGCATAAGCCATGGTGGGCTGAAGTAAAGTTCTCAGCTCTGTCACCAGCAACGCTTCACTTACGACATTCTTTCAGGGGCTCATCACTCCAGTCCCTGCAATCCTGCTCCTGGTTACATACTTTGAGGATGTCTATGCATTCGCCACTTCTGCACTTGAATTTTCCAGGGCCCAAGCACTGATTGGCTGCAAGGAGACACACAGAAGAGTAGTTCCATTGGTGGATATGATCAAAGCAACCCTACGCCTAGCAACATGAAAAACCCTTACCATTTTTGCAGTTGACTTCATCAGAACCATCCACACAGTCTCGGATGCCATTACACTGCCTGCTGCCATGGATGCAGCTCCCGTCCTCACATTCAAACTGGTCAGGTCGGCAGGTTCGAGACGCTATAAAGGAAGGGAACAGATGCAGTGAAGCCAGCCAAGCTGTCCCTAGCTGGTACATGGAAGAGAACAGCACATGCCATGCTGGAAAGAAAGTGACTTACGACAGTTAACCTCATCGCTGCCATCCTTGCAGTCAGGATCCCCATCACATCGCCACTTTTTGTGGATGCACTCGCCGGAGCCACACTGGATCTCACTGGCTGGGCACTTGACATGCATCACCGGATGGCGGCCGCACTGCTCCAGGGACTCATCGGACTGGTCCGAGCAATCTGCATCATCATCACATACCCAGCTGAGGGGGATGCAGGAGGTGGCGCTGCACTGGAACTCGTGGGTGCCGCAGGTGGGTGGGACACAGTCAAGCTCGTCACTGCCATCACTACAGTCATCCTGGCCATTGCACACGAAGTTCCTGGAGATGCAGCGGCCACTGAAGCAACTGAACTCGTCAGGGCTGCATGTTATATTGCCTGTGAAGAGAGAAGATACCCCATTGAAAGGGCATCAGCATTAGTTTTTCATAAGACTCCTGTACCAAAATCAAATATATTGATTTTTGATCATTCATTTTAGCTTCCTAACTTAGCTTAAAAGGAATGGTGGAGTTATGTCAAGAATAAGTTCCTGAAATATGAAAACAACAGTCTCACTGTGTAAAAAAAAAAAAATTGCAAGCACACTATGAATAAGAATAGAACAGAAATAAAGGACCAAGAAAACAGCTAAAGATTAGAAATTAATTTGAGACAAGAACCACAACTGACCCATAAAAGGACAGTGACCAATAACTTAAAGTTATTGTAATTTCAATAATTAGAAATTATTGTAATTCAATAACTCAGAGTTAAGTAATTTCACTTTAGAAGGCAGAGACTGAGTTACGCCTAAATCAACAAACTGCATGTCAGGCCAAACTGTCACTAGCCAAGAATATCATGTGTCAGGTACCGAGGCTATGTGATACGATAATCATTAAGACGCTATAACCAAAAAGAAGGAAGCCACACAGCATGATACATGGTTCCTTCTTTTTTGATCCTTTAAATGAGGATCAGGAATAACAAGTCTTAAACACTTTTAATTTATAAACCGTCATTGCCACTGCTAGAATCACAATCTTGTAATCAGGTCCGAAGGTAATAAGAAGCTAGTCATATTAGCTGGTTGGTACTTGCACTTAAATCCCTGACAAACATATTCAGATCACAATTTGATGGTAATTGGAATGGAGACCACGACTCTCTTGGGAAGCAAAGTCTAGATTTATGAGGGAAATACTTGGCAGCCCCTGTGCTTACCAATACATACAGCGCAATTCTAGGACTGAATGCGAAAACTCATTGGACTAGGTGCAGTGGTACGGACCTCAAGAAATGATTTCTACACGCAAAACTGGTGTTCCAATTGCAAGGGCCCTAAGCTTCCTTCTGACTGCTGCATCAGGTGCCACATTCGTTAGGTGTGGGAGCTCGAAGTGCTAGAGGCCCTATAAAAAGGGTGGTAGATGGCAAGGACACTCAAAGCAATGTTTATTCAACCTAGAGATTCTCCCAGGGCTTCAGCTTTAACACGTAACATTTTATTGAAGATTTTCCAAGAACAGAAACATGAAAGAGGAGGAAACAGAGTTTGCTTTCAGAGATAGGAAGTGTAACAGGAGACAGAGGTTGGGTAGACTTTTCTTTAGGCACTTGCTAGCAACCTGTTCACTCATGCTTCCCTGCCAGTTCAACTTTTGGAAAGGTTATAACACAAATTAGCTTGGGGATAAGAAATGCCTATATAGTACTCAAGTAATTTATTCCAATGAATACATCTAGTTAAGACCCATGGATGTGTTTGCTGGGCCTACTCATCTTCTAGCTTTATTGAGCCAAAGTGAGGAAGGGCCATGCGTTACTGTCACAATAAAGACAAAAATCACATAATTGCTGCTGCCCTGAGCTAGTGCTAAATCTAATGATCCTGAAGGACTTACCTTCTTATTTCTATTTGCCTGAGGAAACACCAAGCAATGGCTAACTGCTATGAGAACATCTTTTGTTTTAGGGCAGTTATGAAGGGCAAGTATTGAGCAGATAGTGAAGTCACTGAAAAGCGAGTCAATGTTACTGCATCTTCATGCTTAACTTAGGCTCCCTTGCCCACCCTCCTTTGAGGAAAGGGGTCTTTGGGATATGCCACTCCACACTGATCTTCTTACCACAGTGTTCTTCATCTTCTCCACTGTCACAATCACTTTCACCATCACATCTCCAGGACACTGGGATACACTGAGTAGAACGGGCACCACAGCTGATTTCATTTATGCGGCATGTTCTCATATCTGTTGATGATATACAGTCTCAAAAGAGCCTCAGAACTGATCAATGCAAAGCTGCTGCTTTTGGGTGTGTAACACCTGGAACTGAATGGCCTGGCATACTGCACAGGTTATCTAGCTGAAGCCTGGGCAGACTTTTCCAGCTCCGTTCTTTAGAAGCCATGCCAACCAATGCCACCAGCAGTGTACCTAAAAGCATTAACCATGTTACTTCTTGAGGTTCCATGGTGTGCTTGCTTCTGGCTTTTGTTGTATTTGGTACAGTTAAGTTGATTAGCTGGCCTGTACCTAGACCACTGTGTATATGTTTGCTATAGAGTGGGCACACGAGATACTGTCCTTTAACTCTGACTTCACTAAAGGTTGGAAGGGCTATTACCTATGAAATTTTCCATTGCCTAGGTTTCTAAAGGTCTCCTTCACAACCTCCTTTAGATTCATATCTTGAAAAAGGAATATGCCCTAATTGTTGTCCTTCCAGGTCATCCCACAGTAAAACTTGGGGCTGCATCTTTATAAAACCTGTCCTGAACTTATAGGTCTTTAAGTAACCTGCTTTAACTCATATTATAATTATTTTCCTCATTTCTTACTTAGAAAATTGAAAGTTTCTGTTGGGTTTTCTTTTATAATCACATTCTAATCTTAAACTCTGCTCACATTAGCCCTTTATTCTGCATCAGGCAGCCTATATGGGCTTACAATGAATTCTAAGACCTTCTTCACCTGGGCTTTCAAATGACTCCAATCTATATGATCCAAAACCATGAACCTCTATGATCTTACACACTTTTCCCTGCACATCAGCCTATAGACGGAAACACATATTCGCACATCTATGAAGTTTCTCCTCTTTAAGAACAAGCTATAAGACTCCTGCTTCAGCACCTTTAAGTTACATGTTTGTTAAAAGTCACTAAATCACCCAATTACTAGTCACCTTACATCTTTAGTAACAGCTTTCTTCCTTGCCTAATATGAAAAGCTGTGTATCTAAAAGCTTATCCTTGGCCCTTGGGGATCCTTCACATCTTGACTTAGCTTCCAGGACTACAGTACCATCTGCTCAGTTGTTATTATCAAACATTTGAAATCTATGCACCTAGTCAAGGAGTTCTCAATCAAATCTACTGGCTTCAGTCTTAAGTATTGAACAGTGAAGCTACCCAAGAGAATGTCAGTCTTGCTAGACCTAGGAGAATATTCTGTAAAGCAAATCAATCAACTATTAACAACCTGACTGACCTTGGAGTCAGTTGACCTGAACTTTAATGCAGGCGAAGGAAAATGAATAACAAGTAGTAGACTAAGCATTACTTAGAACCATGAGACACAGAACAGCTTGGGAAAGTTCAAGTCCAAAGCAAGTCATACTCACGGCATTGCTCTGGGCTTTCGTCAGAACCGTCTTCACAGTCAGGATCCCCATCACACTGCCACCGGTTTGGAACACACTGGCCATTGTTGCACACAAAGTCAGACTCAACACATGTCTTCTTTACTAGAGAAGATTATTTTCAGGGTTAAAGTTGAGGTCACTTATCCGAAACCCTCGTCATCATTGTTAGGGCTAACAATATGTTGTGGCATGACTTTCTAAGAAAATAAAGCCTCATCAATTGATACCCAACTGCCAACATCAAGAGAAACTTTAGAAAACTCTTTTTTCCCCCAGAAGAAGAAGGTATTCATTGAAGAGACAGACAGGATACTGAAATCAAGGAAAGACAAAAAAGTTCATTATCTCACAATGTAATGGCACCATAACATGAGCTTTCTTCCTGTTTAAAATAGTGAGATTATGTAGCGCTTAAATCTCTTTATCCATTTTTTCAAGTCATTCACATACTTCGTAAATGTCATAATAAAATATCTGAGACTAGTTGACTTATAAAGGGAAGAAATTTATTTTGGCTTTTGGTTCTGGAGGCTGGCAAGTCTAAGAACATGGCTCTGGCAACCACTTGGTTTCTCATGGGGGTATAATTCTGTGCCATGACATGGCAGAAAAACAGCGGGACCAAGTAGGCACATGTGGAAGAGAAAAAACACAAGGGGAAGCCTTACTTTACACCAACCCACTCTCTCAGTAAATAATTAAACTTCCGAGGAGAAAGGCTTTATTCCTTCTTTCTAAGATAGTCACTTCTTAAATGCTCCACTCTTTACTTCATTACATTGGGAATCAAATATTAACATTAGTTTCAGAGGAGACAAATCATAGAAATAAGTCCAATAGCCAAACATTCTACCCTATGACTGAATCATAGAATAACTATTTGCTATGGACTAAATGTGTGTGTCCTCTCAAAATTCGTATGTTGAAATAGTATTAGGAGGAAGGATCTTTGGCAAGCGATTAGGTCATGAGTTTGGAAACCTTACAAATGGGATTAATGTCCTCGTAAAAAGAAACACAAGAGCTTGCTTTATTTCTTCCTGTTCTCCACCATGGGAGGATATAATGATATTGCCACTTGCAAATCAGAGGGATTCCCCACCAAACATTAAATCTACCAGGGCCTTGACCTTGGACTTTTTAGCCTCTGGAACTGTAAAAAATAAATTTCTGTTGTTTAAGCCACCTGGTCCATGGCATTTTTGTTACTGCAGTATGAATTAAGACACTTCTATGTATCTAATTAACAAACAAATGGTGACACCCATGCCACCCTTATTGGTATAATAAGGCAAAGGAACTCACCTAGTTGAAAAGGTAGCACATTTAAAGGCAAGTAGAACTAGAGTGTCATACTTAAAATTCAGGGGAGAGTAGGCTTTGGCCCTTCTAGCCAAAGGGTGGTTTAACATCAACCAGCTAAAAGTCATTGAAACTGCCAGTGCTAATACCCACCTAAGGCAAGGTATCAGTGATGCTACTACTTCTTCCTAGGACAGATCTTTTCCCCAAAGCTTAGTGTTAGAATGCAATTTGTGGTTCAAAGGGATACTTTTAATTATACCAAGAAACGAATAAAGAAGAACTGTCTGAACCAAACTAGGCAGTTTGTGTATCCTACCCATGAAAGAGTCACAGAATATGGAAGGGTCTTGATAAAATAGCCAGATGGGACACCCTGGGCTTATGTGTCTTAGGTTATATTATTTTTTGCTTATCCACCTATATTTTCCACTTGAATCTCCATTAAAAAATCCTTTATAATAAGAGTTGTTGCTTGTAAATCCACTAAAAGTATGCAATTTGCAGAAAAATGGCAAGGGACTATTTCAAGTCAGGATTTGAACTTGGTAGAGGACTCGGAGTTTGAGAAATACCCCTGGGTCACTCTGGTTTAGCCTTAGACATTATAAATTGGGGCAATGGTGATGATAATTAATTTTTAACAACTCAAGATGGGTTGATGAATTATGATGATCCAAAAAGGCTTACTTGGGACTGGGGATTTAGCTCAGCGGCACAGTGCCTGCCTGGCAAGCGTGAGGTCGTGAGTTCAATTCCGGGTACTGAAAAAAAAAAAAAAAAAACCACCCCAAAACAAAAAGGCTTATTTGTCTCCTTGAATTATGCAGCAAAGGAAAAACGAAAGATCACATTAGCTCTTAGATTCACATCTATTTCTAAAGTTGCCTTAACACATAAATCCTAGTGTTAAAATATTAAGTACTATCCAAGATGCATTCTCCTGACTGTGGAGGAAGAGGCCAGGGAGACTGCAAGGTTAGTTTATCCAGAATTCAACCTGTGATATCCTTCTGAAGTTAGAAGAGGGAGAAGGGGAGTGGTCTTGGTTTTGAAAAGTAGAAAGTGTCCTGAGGATATGAAAGATTGGATGTGTAACAATATTTGAACAAAGATAAACGGGAAAAACTGCTATAGAGTTCCTTTTTCTCTATGCTGAGCATAGACGGGGAGGGTGAAAAAAGACATTTGGACCACACTATCTTAGTTACTTTCCTTGTTGCTGGGACATAATTCCTAACACCAACACATTAAAAAAGGAAAGCTTTATTTTGGCTCACAGTTTACTTTGGCTCACAGCTTTTAGTCCATGCATGGTTGGCTAGCTCCAGATGGAAGTGGCATGGTGGAAGGGTCTGGTGGAAGAAAGCTGCTTATAGCAGGACATCCAGGAAGCAAAGAAACTCAAGAAAGGAGCTAAGAAGGTCACACCCCCTACACTTCCCCCAACGCTTCCCACAAGACCCCACCTACCAATAGCAAGTCAACTGTAAAGTCCATAATTCAATCACCTCCCAAAAGCTCCACCTATGATTGCTTGAGGTTTTCAAGGGACATCTATACATAAACTATAACATTCTACCATCGGCCCCCAAACACCTCATGCACATCTCATTACTCATTACGCAAACTGCATTTAGTCCATCTCTGAGAGTTGCCAAAATCCTAACAGCTCCAGCATTGCTGAAGAGGGCGAGTCCAAAGTCTCCTCTGAAATTTAAGACAAACTTTTAGCCATAAGCTCTTCTAAAAATCAAAAGAAAGTTAATCACTGCTGACATACAATGGCATGAAGTAAACACTTCCATTCTAAAAGGCAGAAATAGGGGGACAGAAACCAATGGGCACAAAATAAGACTGAAACCCAGCAGAGCAAACATTAAATTCTACAGCTCTAGATCCAATAGTAGGACAAGCTGTGGCAAGATGTGAATGCCAAAAGGCCTGCGTGGCCCCACCCCTATAGCACTGGGGGCCATTGTAGCCCTCAGGGCTTCTCTCTTGGACTGGCTTTCCTCAGTCCTTGTGGTTTTTCTCAGATGTTCTTGGCTTCTTCAACTTTCTGGGGACTCAACTGCATTTTGGGCTTCATTCTCATAGCTTCACACACTGCATACTGCAGGCATCCTCCCAGGCATTCTTCTCAAATCTGGGTGGAAGCCTCCTTGACCCCACAACTCTTACATTCTTCATGGCTGTAATACAAGCACCACATGAATGACACTAAGGTCTGCTACCAGCTCCAGGAGTAGCTGGGCCCTTTTGCATGTGACTGCAGGTGCCCTCTGAGTATTTGGATGGCTGAGCACTGTGAATGGAATCTCAGGAAGCCAATTTCTTAGGCAGCCTTTCTTGAACAGTATGCCTTTGGGCTCTCTACTCAAAGAAAAGCCTTTCACATTTACACTGTTGTGTCTGCAAAGGGTGAAGCCTTGCTGATTCCTGAAATGTCCTTAAACCATTTTTGCTACTGTTCTCATCCAAAGTACTTGATTTCTTTTTAATGCTAATTTCTTCAGCAAAGCTCTTCTAAACTCCATCTTTGTGAGTGCATTCTTTTTGGAAAAACTGAAAACACTTAAAATGAGCTTTTTATTCTTGATTTTCAGTTCAAACCTTGCTAAAAGCTTGAACAGTACCCATGGCACAGCCCCAATGATGGTCTGCCTTGAAATTTTTTCTGCCAGATTAATTATTCTGCTGCCTTAATCTCAGTCCCCGACAAAAATCTCAGGACATGAGCAAAATATTTGTAAATTTTTTGCCACAGCATAACACACATTGTCAAGATTCCAACTGCCAATGAGTCTTTCTTCCCAGCTAAGACTTCCTGAGTCTGGTCGTTTTATCAGCATTCTGGTTTTGAGAGCTACAACCAGAAACTCCTGTTAAACTCTGATTATAGCATTCTAGGATTTCTCCAGTTGGCCTCTCCAAATGTTTCCAAACTTTTCCTATGAACCAGTTCTAAAGGCTATTAAACCACACACATGGTCAAGTAATGTCACCTGATGAACCTACTTCTCTGGTATCAAAATCTGTCTTCATTAATTTTCTTGTTACTGAGACATAATACCCAACATCAATAAAGAAGGGAACTTGTAGAAATTTCAGTCCATGTATGGCTGGCTGGCAGAAGCCTCAGGGTGGAATGGTCTGGCAGAGGAAAGTTGCTCGTATCATGGCATCCAGGAAGCAGAGAGTCTAGAGAGGAGCCTGGATAGGAGATACAGCCTTCTAGGCCACACCCCAGTGACCTACCTCTTCCAACCAGACCCCAGATATTGATAGCAATAAGCCCCATAATCCAATCACCTCCCCCCACCCCACCTACAGTCACATAGGTTTTTGGGGGAACATCTAGGTATAAACCATAACACAGACTTTGAGATAAAGATAGAAATTTAGAGGTGCTACAGGGGAAGAAAACTAGTAGTTATACACTTCTGGTATCTTAGTTACTGATTAGCCAGCTCAATATAACAGTAAAAAAATAAAGAAGTTACTGTGGCTAAAAGAAGCACATGGCTCACATGGGATCTAAGCTTAAATTGACTAGATATGACACTAGTTGTCACACTGAAAAGAAAAAGCTCTGCTGAAAATTGTAAGCAAGTTCCATAACCAAAGGTTAACAGAGGAAAACCAATAGGTGGCTTTAGAAGTTTTAGGTAATCATGTGCCTCTTCTCTTTCATAAAGAAGCATCTCAAAATAAATCAGAGTTTCTTAGGAAGGCTTCCACTTTCCTTTTCTACCTTCATATCTGGGAGGCAGTGACAAATTCTGACCAAGGATATATTTAATTTTTCCTACTTCAAATGATCTTGATTCACTCTATTATATATTTACCTCCTTCCCTCGTATAAGCCCTCCTATCATATGGCTAGCAGAGGGTATTTATGCAGAAAGTATTTTAGGAAAAGTCAGTGTTTTACCCTAAGATGACCAAGGCTTATTTCCACTGAGTTAGATCATGAAGGAAGATTTATACAACATGAATAAAATAATTACTTTTAAAGAAAAAGCAATTTTCCCAACATACAATGTTTGTCCAACATACAACTTTGAACAGAGAAAAAAATCACGACTTACACAAAAGAAAACATGAAAAGAGTGAAGTCCTCCTAGGGAGATGTTTTTTGAGAGAACTATATTACATAGGTAAACCAGAAATAGCCTGGAACCCAGTGTTTTCCATGTTGATCAAAATCTTACTGTTAAATACATATAAGAGGAATGTGTAGCACTGGTGAACTATTCCTGGTCTTGAGACTGGAGGTAAGTGTTTTCCTGGAGACTGAAGAATGGACTTTATGTGCTTCGAAAGGAGCTACTGATCTACTCATTGACACAAAACCCCATGATATTATGTGGAGAGAGCAAGCATAGGACAATGTCTGTCCGCATGTCTACTCTAAAACATTCTAGTAATGTACTCTAAAACATTTTAGGAAAGGGCATAAAATAGCAGGCAACAAAACCCCCATTTAGCTTCTATTTTTCTTCTGTATTATTTTTCTTCTATTTTAAAAGGTAGATGTCAACAATAGCACCTACATTCACACACAACATTGCTTCAGGACTTTAACAACACAAAACAAAAAGGTCAGAAAGCACATTTCAGCATGAGTTGGAGTACTTAGATGCAATCTTGACATCATTCCTCAGCTGCTTTGTTTGACATGAGTTTACAGAGACTGTACACATAGGTATTTCTCCCAATGATCTTTTGACAGATACTGATCAATGGTATGATGTTATATCCCCATTCTTTAGAGGAAAGAATGTCTTCTTCCCTGACAAATGCTTTAGAATCAGAAACTACTGTGGTGAGAATGACAAAAGAATTTTTATCTGATCTTTGTTCTGTGATGGCTTATAGCTTCTATGTTAGGAGTTAATTAATGTCTTGCAACTTTAGGGGATTTTGTAGTGTCCATAACTTGCTTTCTTTTCTGGGATCAAGGAAATCTGAGAATTTTTTAAAAATTACTTCTAAGCAATCTTTTCTCCACCTCTATTTTTGGCCCTCCCTTACTTTTCCTTATCTTCCTATACTTTATGTTTGCTGACCTAAGATAAACCAAGTACTGTTATTTGAAAGAAACTCCACTTTGTCTTCAGCCTTCCATACTCAAGTTGATACCCCATGTCAAACATTCATCTGTATCCCTCTAAACTGGACAGTATAGATTCTCTGGACCCAACAGGTTCAAAGCAGGTTCAAAAGTGAATTTCATTTGCAGAATCTCAATATATTTGTAGAAATTTAGATAGCATCATCACATTTCACTAACATGCATAAGTCCAAGTGCAGTAGCAATTGAAATGATCAAACTCTACATACCACAGTTTTTTTCATCACTGCCATCAACACAGTCTTCATCTCCGTCACATTTCCACAGTAGAGTTATGCAGCGGCCATTTGTGCACTGGAATTGGTTAGGTTCACATTTTGTTTTTCTCCCTAGAATGAAGAAGGAATATTTAGCATGTTAAGGAAAGAAAGGTGACAAGTTAGAGGTACAAATTACTCAGAATCCTTTGATAGAGAACCTTTCAAAAGTACAGCTACCAATTCCTTGGGCTATAACATTCTAGGGGCCAGCAAGGGATGGGTTTTGAGGCAGTCACTGACAGTAATGAGCTGAGATGGGAATACCCTAACACTCAACGCTAGATTCCCACCCCCTTTCACAGGGAGGCATAGCCAAGAGACTCAGTTCTGGTTAATGGGATGTAAAAAAATGTGGTGTATATGATCTTTAAGAAATATAGACATGTGCCACATCATGACGTTTTGGCTAACGTGAATTCTATAAACAAAAGTGATTTTATAAGATTATAACCAAGCCTCAAGAAAATTCACTCTGAAAGTTTTAGTAGAAACTCTTGCAGAATCCAACAAACTTCTTAAAAAGTTTGAAAACATGGACCCCCAGTGCTGAGAGGTTTTCATTCAGACAGAGCAATGTTCATGAAACTTACAACCAAACCTATGATGAAAAATGAAACTGAGCAAGCAGTCTACTGTGAGCATGTTTCTGAAAAGAGTGACAGCTACTCAAGAGCCTCAGGCAGGTCTCAGGAGGGATCCACAGGAAGGCACTGTTACCACAGGAAGTGATAGCTCCATGCATGTTTTTGCCTGTGGAGATATTCCTGTAGTACAAGATACAGAAGTGGAAACCAGTAGTACTGATAATTCTGACCCTGCATGGCCTAGTGTCTTAGTTCTTAACAAAAAAGTTAAAAAAATTTAAAAACTTTAAGAATATAAAGAAAATATTTTTGTACAGCTATACATTGAGTTTTAAGGTGTTATTACACAGTCAAAAAGCTGGAAAGAATATAAAGCAAATAAAAACTGATAGTAAGGTCTGGGAACATAGCTCAGTGGTAGGATTCCTGCTTTGCTTATACAAGGCCATGGGTTTAATTCCTAACACCAAAATATAAAACAAAAACAGTGCATTAAGGATAACTTATTATTGAAGAAAAAATAAAAAATATCTTTTTCATAAATGTAGTGCAGCCTGATCGTGTAATGCTTATAAAGTCTAAAATACTAAGCGCAGGAAAGTCCTAGGCCTTCACATTCACTCATTGCTCACCCAAAGCCCCTTCCATTCGTGCTAACTGTACCATTTCTATCTTCTGTACTATATTTTTACTGTGCTTTTTCTACTTTTAGATACACAAATAATTATCAATGCATTGCAGTTGCCTAATAGTGCTCAGTATAGTACCGTGCTGTACAGGTATGCAGGCTGGGACCAGTAGCCTACATCACGTAGCCCAAGTATGTATATAGTAGGCTGGACCATCTAGGTTTGGGAAAGTACATGTTATATTTGCACAGTGATAAGATGGTCCAACATTGTAATTCTCACAACACATACCCATCATCAAATGATGTGTGGCTGTATCCTTAAAAGGCTAGGGGACTCATTTTCTTTCCCTTTATCTCTTTTTGATTCCTCAAAATTGGTCACAGTAGCTTGTGTAGTGATCCTGGGCCAGTGGAGCCAGTGATAAAAGGAGCTTCGATTTCCCAGAGACCACAGGGGCATCACATTTGCCCCTTAACTTCCTCATCTGTGTGAGCCACCAGTGCTGCTGTAAGCATGCAGTCAACCCTAACCCTTTCATGGCATCTCTCTCCCACATCCATACAACTGCCCATGAACGATATTCTTATCACAAGCAAAGTAAAGCAGATTTAGAAGGAAGCAGCAAGGAGAGGGTGGAAGTAGAGAGTTAGTACATTGTTCCTCATCTTAAAAATTGAGGCTTATTTGCAAAAAGACATGTTTACAAAACAGCTCTGGTTTAAGATTAAAAAAAAAAAAAAAACACCAAGAAACTATAGGCAACAGGTAAAGGAAGATCATTTCTCATTTACTGATGAGAAAAAAAGGAAAGTGAGGCAGCGCTACAGATATGGATTCTGTTTCTCTATACTAGTTCTCTTTAGCTCAATATATGGGCATCTAATTCACAGTGTCATGAACTGAGGCTTCAAGAGCACTCAGTATTTTGTCCGGCATGCAGCAGCTAATGTTCAGGTGTTTCCTATCATTAGCAGTTCTGTCCTTCTGAAGGCTGTGATTACTTTGAGATAAAAGGCATGGATGTAGTCACTCGCAGCCAGCCCCCTGCAAATATTTGAGAAAACCAATGGAATCATGTAGTGCATGCATATCACTGGGGGAGGGAGGCTCCTAGCAGAAAGCCTTCCGATTCCCTGCCACCTTTCAGCTTCTGCAGCTGGGACACACTGGCATAGGAACAGAGACAAGCACAGACTGGAACCCTTGTGCTATGTGTACAATACTCTGGTTGGTCCCCCTCGTATCAGCTACCCTTTGCTGTGGGGGAGAATTCTGTGCTTTGTGGCTAATTTCCAGGCAGATTAAAATTTGATCCAAGGAAAGATTACCGCACAAGTGTAGTTAACCTTCAGGTACAGTAACTATATTGCTTTTATCAACTTATTTATTATTATTATTTTTTAGACTGTATCTATCATTCCACTGCTAAGAGTCTTGTCCGGCTGCAAAACAATATAGTTTGCTCGTATTTCCTGCTAATATTTCAAAATATTTATTCATTCCATAATTTGCATATTAAACCGTAGGATGCTAGACAAGGGAATAAGAGGGAGGAGAGCTTGTTGTCAGGAAGCATCTTGTATTTGTTTTTATGCCACAAAGCCAAGTGTGAGTTACCTGGCTGTCTCCTCACCCCAATGCCATTGTACTCTCACGATGGTGTGAGTGCAGCACCAGCTGTTGGCTAGAGTGCTCTAGCCTTTGCACCACTGAGGACTGAGGACTTTGAGTACTTTACTTAAAAAAGTAGAAAAAGAGCAATTCGCAATCAGAGAACATAGGTATAAATGTACTTGGAAAGAATAGTTTAATTGCGTTTGAATACAGTGAAAGATGAAAGGCTCTGATTTTCTCAAGGGTTTCAGTTATTGAGGGTTAAGTCAAAAATAGACAAAAATTTTTGACGTTGAAATCTACATAGGCAGACTAGTAACCCTATCATCAGAGCTGGATGGAGACTTAAGTGTACATGTCAGATGATGGCCTTCTATTTTAGGGTTAAATACTTGGAAGAGTAGCGTTTTTCATCTGTTTCTACAGATTTTGTAGATGGCCAAGCTGGCCTGGGGGTAAAATATGAAGATACAATATTCTGAGGCTGACATTTAGTTCACAATCACCTTAAAGGAAGTCTATGAATTTAGCTGTAAAATATGTTATCAATAGTTATGAACTCCCAGCAACTCTGCCTCAGGAGTGTACATTCAGCAGGCTCATAACAGATGTAAGCATTTTCGTAGTATTCATTTCAATGCCTGTGATAAAAAGGAGCTTAATTTCTACCTTTTCTTATCCCAGATGAGTCCACTTCACCTAATACTCTGCCTGTCATAAAACTTTTACCATCACACAGTCAGTCTCTCTCTGTCTCTGTCTCTCTCTCTCACACACACACACAGACACTCCATTCAGAAGGAAGAATAACTGGCAGTAGGAGTACTATGCACTACTACTGAAACATCCCTGCTCATCTGAAAGAGGTGGAAGATTGGGGTGGGAGCAGAAAAGCTAGCTGGCTTTGTAAAGAACCCTTTAAAGAGAGGAAAATAAAGGTCTTAAGCTTTATGACTACCTCTCTTAGTTTCCTAAGCACTTAGTTTTGAGAAACTGCTACTACACAGAAAGTGCTCCTAATTCTATTAATTCCCTGCTTCATACAGAGCAGGAAGAGCTCAGATGCTAAACTGAATGCTGAGACCTTAGGCCTCACTGTAACACTGTGATTTTCTTTTTACCCCAGGTTCCAGAATAAGTCCACTTCTCCCTCTTTCGTGCTTGACTGGGACTGTTATGTACAAAGGTCCAGGAGAATTTAAAGCACCAAATGAGTTAAGAAGCTTTTGGTTTCCAAAGCTTTGGAGGATTACAGGATTGCAGAACCATAGTCTATTTCCACCCATGAAAGTTAAATCTCAAATTTAGTATTATATTTTTATAAAAGGACCAGGATGAGCTGGAAATCATCAACACATAAGGTTCTTTTAATTCTTATGCTAAGTGAAAGCCAGTGAAACCTCAAAATAGAACCTTGGAAGTTGAAGCACTGGGCACACTACATCCCCGGAGCTGTCTGCTCACACAGGTGAAAAGTTGGTGGAAAATGTAATATTTAGGGTTCCTCAATGCTAGTAGTGTTTCACAGGAAATGCCTTAGGGGTGAAGGAGTGAAGGCAGGGGAAAGGCCTTGATGGATGCACCCTACATATTTCACCTGTTTCAACCAGGAAAATTTTGAATACTGGAGCTTTGCGCAAGAATTTGAAAAGTGTTATCTTAAAAAATCAAAACTGTCTAGGTTTCCTTCTAGCTCTAATACTTTGAATATGGGTATGGGCCAGATGTATTAAAGTTACTTAGACCTAGTCACTGACCTGGCCTCCTAAATTAAAAGTATCAAATAATTACTTGCTTTTACTGTCACCTATATAAGGGAAACTATTCATGTGCCAGGGGCCTTACCTACATAGATAACACTGTTACCTAGACATGTTGGTAGTTCACTGATTTCAAGAGACTCAGGTTTTTTAATACATAGAAGCCAGCCTGCTGTCATCTAATCATCCTGGCAAGGGTTAACACAGAAGAACGATACGTAAGCTTCAATAAAAACCACAAGGACTTTACAGTAAACACCAAGCCTTCAAGTTGGGCTACAGATTTCCCTGTGGGGGCTCAGAGTAGCGTCTTGGCAGACGCTCACCAACGTGAATGCCCAGAATATAGAGGAGATGTCTCTGACTATGAGGCTCAGAATGAGCTTGAACTTACACAGAATGGCACATCCTGCCACACTGCTGAGGCTGCAAAGGCCAACTATTCACTTCTGTCGCGCCCTTCTTCATTGCTTGAGCAG